CAGGTACTAAAGTTTCGAAGAAACATACTGTCTCCATCTTCAGGATTGAAACACTTCAGCGTGTTTCTCCGAAAAGTTGGCATCCACCGCCGAGTCTACACGGCGCCAAAATCCAGGAAAAAAAACATCATCACCATTAAAAGAGCATGCCACAGGTCCATAACCTATCACCATCCCATTCTATTTTTTTCAGATACTTTTTAATATTTTTCTTCCATCTGTTCCTATGTTTTCCAAGTAGTCTCTTCCCTTCCTTTTTCCGACAAAGATCCTGAGTGCATTTATCACTTCTTCCGTGCCTCGCCTTATCCTTAATTTTATCAACCTAATTACATTTCGTGTGGATTACAAAAATTAAGTTTTCTGTCATTTATTCTTTCTCAGATCCGAATATAGCCATTTATACTGTAACGAGACATTTGCGTTCCTGAATAGAGCCGCGTTATTAAAAATCGTGTTATATAAACCGTTAGTTCAATTATAATTAAGATATTAGGGGTAGAGATTTCGGTTCCACCATCACGAATATATTTTTTCCCACAGCAGTTAGCCATATTATTAATGCGATGTATTACTTTAGAATAATAATTGTGTTTATGATAATTTTAAACAGGAAAAAAATAGAGCCCGTTTCACACCTGCGTTCACGGTTTACTTCTCTGGATTTCTTTATTTTCTTTATTTCGATAACGCTATACCCAACATGCACCCGAGTTACGGAAAAACAGCTTTCTCTTATAAATCAGACGCGTTATAGCCAATTCGCGTTACGAAAACAGCGTTATGAGAGAATGACTTTATTTTACCTCGCTGTTCTCGAACAAAACAGTCACAACCTGTTTCAGTTCACTTCTCGGCATTTGCCTGGAGAGACATAAGACAAACCAAACCTTAACTGGGATGATCGATATCGAGATCTGAACAATTTACATGTATCGATATAACAGCGAGTTTGAGTAAAAAATCGACTTCGTATGTGCGCGTTTTTGTAGGCTGTGGGAGTTGCCCCAGGAGCAGAGAATCTTAACCTTCATTTCCTGAAAGCACCTCTGAAACTTCGGCAAACATGCCAGACTACACAGCGGAATAACCCAGAAGACAGCCATCTTAGTACACGCAGCCTTGAGAACCTCAAATCTCGGTCAATTCATATATACAGGAAGTCGCGCTCTTTTAAAAAAAATATATATATACAGCATGTGCAAGAAGATCGGGTCCTAAGAACAAATTCTACGTTACAGGTAACCCTACTAAATTGAAACAATATTAAAACGGTTTGTGAGATTCGAGATTTTTCGTGGTGGTGACGATAATATTCTTCTGGGTCTTGGCGCCGTGTACACTCGTCGGTGGATGCCAGCGTTTCGGAGAAACATATGTCTCCGCCTTCAAGGTAGGCAAACGTTATGGATGTGTGCAAACAGAATCACGTAATTTTTGATACATAAATTCTCTTGATGGAGTATCAGTATGCCAAGATATACGTTAAATCCTTTGCCTCTTTCATTCATAATTATCCTGATCCGCTACATTACCCATTACCAGTTAACAACTCACTGTTAAATAGTCATGTGTAAGTTATCTTTGAATCCAACAGAGCTGAGCTACCAGCTGAGTGTAGAGAGAGTTGAAGAAACGTTAAGAACTCAGTCCTACATTTCCTTCATCACAATATACTCCTCGGAACGGATAACATGCTTCCTCAGCAGGCGCTCATCCTGTTGACAAATGAGCAATCCTGTGGCAAGAAGCCAGCCGGATAAACAGCATGCATTATTACCCCCACTTCAAGTGTGAGCTAGTAATGACAGTCTGGAGCCAGTCTTTCACGATTAAAGCGCAAGGCACGGATCCCTATACAATTGAATGGTCTGTCATTAACGATGGAAACACTTCCGCGGTTCCAATCGAGTGTTCAACTTCGACTTTCGAGAATATCGAATATTATCTAATGTTTAGACAAACAATACGGTTGCTATCTTATGAGTGGTTATGTGATGGTTAGACGTTTTTGAAAACATTCTGTACGGCAAGTGGTTGGTGGATCCAAAAACCAGATCCATGAAATCCAAATCTCCGTCCATTACCTGTCTGTATAAGGCTTCTAAAAAAAGGAAAAATTACATATTCGCCCTGAAGATAGCTTAAACGTTTTCCGAAACGTTAAATAATTTTAACATTCGACGCAGCTAATCTCCTGCTTTGTATGAAACCTCTCAGGATGTTTATTCTGAACGCACCCAATCGCTTTCTTTACTTCTACAAAGCAAACAATGGGATGCCGCTGTAAAATGGGCCAAAATAACAAATTGTAATCCGAAACAATTCATTGTCATCCTCACTTTGCTATTAACTCTAAATCTCAAAACAACAGACCGGAGTACGATTTCAGGTTCTCACGGCGACAAATATGAAGACTCTTCTGGGATGTTAGCGTCGAGACCTAGTAATCGAGGCATACGCATCTCTGAAACTTCGGTCAGTTTCTACGAGACTACACGCAGCGATATCCCAGGAGTCAAAAGACCAGAACAGCAGGAGAAAATGTCGATTCACTCATTAATTAAAGTCCTTTAAACTGTTAAATCATGATAACTTGCAGTCAATGATACTGATCATAACCTTGTAATCGTTTATGTGAAACAATTTTGCTCTGTGGCTACGGTGACAGAATGTAGGCGAAGTTAAAAGAAGAGAATGTATCGATTACTCGCGTTCCACTCCACGTCGTTGCATTACCAGTATAATGAAGTGGTGTCAGAGTTTATAAACGATTACTCGGAAGTGACGCGTAGAAAAACACTGTGACGTGTTTTAAGGTTATAAAACGACAAAGGCAAACCAGGTGAAAGTCGTTAAGATAATTAACACGGGGCTGGACGGACACACGGTCTATAGGTCTTTTATGCGATAAAAAAGACAGATGCTGGCGCCATTATTAACTGGTAGACCTACGTCATGTTTCGAAAGCTATATTAGTAAATATTTAATTAAATGCACTACATTTTAATATCACCCGCGACAGATCTATTTTTTTACGTCAGTCGAAGTTTCAGTTGGCATTACACAGATTTCCCAGAATTCCCTTTCCAGTTACTTAACCTCGAGAGTTAGCAAGAATGAAACTGAATCAGTAAATTTATGATTTAATCAAAATAAGCCAGACGTTCATTCTGTATTTTCGATAACAACTAAAAAAATATATCAGAGTTTCGTATGAAAAAAGTACGTGATATAATTTCGTAAAATTATCTTGGAATAATGACATTGACGACACAAGGAAATTAAACTCTGATTAAATGCGAATCAGAAGCAACATTCGATATCACATAAAGTCTATCATTTTTACGCATATACCACGTAGACGACAAAAACTTTTTTTTTTAAAATTCGAACTATAAAAAGAACCATACAGCATTCCACCAGCAATCGGCTATCAAGTAAGTGTGGATGGTAGAAGTGAAATAGAAAACGCCGTTCCACTGTTGCTTTGAGCGTCAGGAATGATTCATTGCCCCAGTTCACGATACAGACTAATAATAGAACATGCTCTCATATCCGCAATGGAAACTATAGACGGTATTCTAGCAAAAAGCAAACGAATTATTTTGAGTTCTGTTACGGCCAGCGACACATAATATTTTCATTACGACTTGTTCAGTCTCTAGGCATACTTTGCAGTTTTATTCCTTGTACTTGGATGTACAGGTAAAATGCGTCAATTTCCTCATTACATCCAAAAAGCTACGTATCTCTTACCTACAAAACAGATAATTGTACTATTCTTCCGGCACTACTTCCATAACGACCACTGGAATCACGACTATTTCTACAAAGTGCATATATAACAATTGACATGTAAGATTTGAGGTTTTCACACGTCATACTGCCTCTGAAACGTTGATTAACATCGATCAGACTACACAGCGCAACAACCCAGAAGACTTAAATCTTCAACAATTGACAGGTTAGGATGAGGTAGGGTTCGTTTCTGTGTTACGTTTTCGGAGCAAATCTGGCATCAACGTGAACGATACTGGATGAGTACGATTGGAGGTTTTCATGGCCGTGAGTCTTCTCGGTTGTTGCGCCGTGTAGCCTGGTAGAAATTTACCGACGTTTCAGAGGTCCTTGCTGCCTCCATAATCAGAGTGATCGTCCTGATGTTGGAGGCAGTAAGGTGCATTGCAGGGGACGTAGGTAAATTTGCCTACTTCCAAACATCGCTGCACTCTGAGTGAAAGTTCCTGCAGGTCGACTCAGGTTTTCAGCTACTATAAGCAACTTATAAAATAAAAGACATTTATTTTAACTTTGGTAGTAAAATACCATACGTATATCGATAAACGTTTTAAACACGAGAAGTATTATTGAACAAGTTAAGCGAAAGTGACGGGTTGCCGTGTTTTAAATAATTTATACACATATTTTCGTCTTATTTGCACAATCTGGCAGGTATTAAATGTTTATTTTGTGTAATGAGGCTACAATGAAAATATTCTTTGAATTATTAGATCAGTAGTTCAGTTCAGACGCACGGAATAGCCAAGGCGCGCTTCATGAACGTCATTTATTTTAATATGGCGGCAAATTTGTGAACAGATCAAATCAAATCGCATGAAATCGATAGCGTCCAATAAGGCCCCTTCATTTCTTATTATTTGTGTCTACTCACGTCTACGTCCGTGGAGCTTCCTTTGGCACTGCTGTTGTAGGCAACCCGCAGACACTGCTGGAGCTGTGCAAACGGCATTACCACCTGCAGCCTGAGCACTGACCTGTACTCCTGTTATTAAATGGGGACTCCACAAGAAAAGCAACTCTCAACGGCTTATAAAACAGTTCGACGCAAATTTGTTCATTCCATTCTCAGATGGTCAGCAGACGACTCTGCAAAGGAGGAGGTAAGTAATTTTAATTTAATGCACATTTAGACACCTTTAACATTTTACATTCAAATACAGAATATTATGAATAAAAGACACAAAGCCCATGGAATGACACTGTTTACATTGTCAGCTCCTCTCAGACATTATAAAAAAAAGGTCTCTAAGTCCAAATTATATGAGAATTTAAAATGTTTCATTTTATGCTTAGTGGGAATGTTTGTCATTCCTGTTCTGGTAATATTCATATACTACAGCAACAGAAGTGTTTACAGAATGCATTTGGCGTGGAAATCTTCATCTCTGACCTGGTACTTGGCTAGGCGTCTTTTAGTTAAAGTTTTAAGGCATATTTACAAACCGTTTTCACGACACTGTGGCCATTATCTTCGCGGTATAACGTACATGAACGGCTGGTCGACACATGTCAAAGTGTCGTGGCGTATTCTAAATTCCTCTCCATAGCTGTTTTCGGACAGGATATTCAATTCATATTCGTAACAATTTCAAAGTACAGTGACCATGCATACACATCGCTTGATTCGAAAAGTATTTGAGGTTAAAAACTAACGTACCCAATCTCACTAATCTTCAACTTACTTTAAGATTTATTTTATAAAAATCATTTTTACTGAACTCATCGCCGTATTATAAATACAATCCTTAGACGAATTAAAACTGTTTCAAAATAGAAATACATAATCCATTCTACTCCGAACACATTGTTTTAATTATGGTGACGCAATAGGCACAAGTCAATACACGTACCAGAATAATATTATGCCTTTTAATTTTTTTCAGTTATCGTAAAAGTAAGTTTTTATACTTCCATTATTGGCCTTCAGTTGAAATACGAACTGTTGGAGCCTTTTCATTTCCTGGGGTTATCATGTGATGTAAATGCAACGCTTTATTTTAACGGATGAAGAGTCACGTAACAGTACTCAAATCATTATTTGAGTACATCAATTGAATCACGAATTTTTATAACCGAGTTAAAAATCCTTATGACCAAAAATGTCACTTTCCCAGCCACTTCACAAAATATGTACATCCACCACCTGTTTACTGATTTTAGGTTAAATTACCAAACCCTCCAGATGTGGGTGACCTTGTGAATATACTGCGTTCAATAGGCTTCAAACTTAGACACTTTGACAAATGTGAACACAGAACGCAGTATTCCATGTCTACATCTACCAGCAGTTTGAACTCGGTTGCTGATGGCTTTAAGAACGCAGAATGCAGAGTGGAAATTACATGCGGTCATTCTGGATTACGAGCCATTCTTGAATCTGTAGTAGGAGAATGCCGATGTCCTCCTATAGAAAGTGCTACCCAGGCAGAATTCTGGCAAATTAGTGGCAGTGCTCCAGTTGCTCAGGGCAGTCAGGTAAATTGTTTTTAAACATATGGTAGCTATATGTAGTTCTGAAGATTTCTGTCTTCTGGGTTGTTGCGCTGACTAGACCAGACTACACAGCGCAACAACCCAGAAGACAGAAATCTTCAGTTCTGTTTTAAGTCTGCACCAATTGCCTGAAATAGTATAAGTACTGATTTTGAGAACAGAAGTGTATGAGAAGGAATGGCAATTAGCAAAGTTAAGACGAAGATGACTGTTTTCTGAGTTGTGCTATGCAGTCTGTTAGAAGTTTACTGACATCAGCAACCTTCTACAAGACTGCGTGGCACAACACGGTAGAGGTTTACTGATGTCAGTCATCTTCATACTTGCTGCCATGAGAACCTCCAAACTCACAAAGTTAAGGTGGTTATAATGTGCTGAATTTAAGACACCTGTTTCTGACATTGACATAATAATTTGGTTTTATCCCAATTAGACATTGGAGACAGAACTATTTAGACTAGATGTGCTGACCTTGACATTTGTATCTTGTGCCTCGGAACTCATTTCTGGATTCGTGCGCATGCATAAATTTGGACTTCATTTGCAGGAGTCCATAAGTAGTGTGCAGGAAGCTGGGAGCTCTCTTGTGCCTCCATTAGCACCAGAAGTGGCTGCAGTTGTCAAGGATGTCATGATCAGAGTGCTGCATATCACATCAGATCCTGGTATCGGAGAACTAGATACTTCAAGGCATTCCCTGCCTGGAAACACACAACCATATCTTTCACATCATCGATCTCTTGACATTCTTCCACTAACGAGTTCATCCACTTCAAAGCAGTTTGGATCCACGACTGTAACTGTGGAAATTTCTGAGCAAGATAACAAGAATGTGCTTCCTCGGACAGTATCCAATATGGTGTGTATTATTAATATATTTGTTGTTCAAGGAAATGTTTGGACAGTTAAATTGATTTTGTCTGTCACCTGGTGTAATTCTTGGCAATGAAAGCTGTGATGGTTGAATTAAATGGTGAGTTGACACTGTAGTACTGGTTATTTATTTAGAATTATGTGACAGTAATATTTTATTTACTCCAACAATTTGTTGTTATATGGACAGTAAAGCTGATGTGGCAACTCACACTGCACATAAAATAAGATGTTACAGTGCAAGTGTTGGTCAGAAGTGATTGTAGTAAAACGTACGTGTATTAGGAAAGTCAATAAGAAGCACAAACAATGTTTTATTGGTTACTTTTAGTCATATAAATTGCATTAAATTATAGAGGCATTGTGCATTTTAAGTTCAAAAAGTAGGACTATGATTTGTGGTGAGAATACTGTACGTGATACCAAAAGACAGTATATTCATAAAATCAGAAGAGAGGTGCTAATTAATTAACATTAATATTAACAAATGACTTGAATTCTAGATAAGAATTCACTACTGATAAACAATGAGGTTTTAATGATGAGTTGTTTTTGTATCCTTGAAAATGATTATATACTTAAATGAAGGCTGGATCATGTGCTCTGTTACTATAATATACAGCTATTTCTTCATAAAACTTCCAGGAATTGTCAACATGCTCTGTAAGCCCTGTCTCTAGGAGTGACAGCACAGGAGATTTAATGAAACTTCATGAAACATGGGACACGACAACTCATAGACAATCTTCCAGCCCCACCAGCATCCTGTCTGGATCCCTTGAGAGAATGAGTTTGACTGAAAAACATGGTATCTTTTGTCGTTTGGAATTTGCAAAGCGCAGTATCAACGAGGCCATGTCAATGTTGAAAGTGCAGCCACTGCCTGTAGATACCACCTGTAAGAAGGTAAAACTATGTCTGCACATACTTAACAGAGAATATGAATTTTTTTAAAATATCAAAACATGTATTTTACAGGAAAAAAGTATTTACCTAGATAACTGAAAGTGTTAGACTCACCAACATAATTTGTAATAAACTTTTATATGTAATGTCTTCTGATTTTAAGACCCTGTGTATTGTAAAGAGTCTGAGTAGGGTCACCTGGAACAAAATGTACAGATTTACATGAACATCTAACTGTGCTAATAAATTGAATAGAATTGTTGTGTGTGTGGTGGAAAAAATATGTTATCTACTCATTTCATCACTGGTAAAACTTAAATGTTTCGCAGTCATCAAAAGAACGCCCCCGATATCTAGGATATCTTATTTAACATTTTATTTTTGATTAACAAATATTTTATTAAAGTAATATACATTCTTATGTTTTACTACTGATAGGTGAGGGTAGACAACACTTCAACTCCATCTTCACAAGCAAAGAAAAGTGGACTAAAGAAAATATCTGTAACTCCAGGAACCATAAGGAAATCACCTGTAACTCCAGGAACCATAAGGAAATCACCTGTAACTCCAGGAACCATAAAGAAATCACCTGGAACTCCAGGAATCATAAAGAAAATGCCTGGCACTACGGGACATGTAAAGAAAACATCTGGCTCTTCAGGATCTATAAAGAAAATATCTGGAACTCTAGGAACCACAAAAAGAACATCTTCAATTCCAGGACCTAGCAGTTCAGTGACTCAATCTAGAGCATCTGCTGAATCTTTGCTATCAGAGAGAGCTGAACCTCCACTTCCTCGTAATAGAAAGTTGTCTGCTACTTTATCAAGACCAAGGATGACGCCATCTCCCCAACAAACATATAAGTTAGTATCTTCCGGATCTGTGTCAAATTCTCAGAAACTTGATGTGCCTTCTGGTGATGCAACTGTTCACACACCAAGCAGTGCTGGAACTAACATTAGCACAGGTTCATCATCATCTGCTTCATCAGCTTCTTCTACAAAAGCTCGTAAATTGATAAATGCTGTAAGAAGGGTTTCACGTATATCTTCATCTGGAGGCACTCCCAATTCTAAATTCCCACAAAAGGAAAATAATTAGACCACCTTGGCTGGCTACTGATCTACAGACACAAGTACAGACTGTAAAAGTATTTACATTAAGCAGTTCGTCACCTTAAAAATGCATACTGATTAGCATGAATCCTATTTTTCCACATCAATATGACATATTTAAACATGCATCATGATATTTACAAAATGTCGGTACTGTGGAACCTCAAGAAAATACTACTGGAACTCCTAGTAACAAAAACCTCAGATAACAACAATAAACAAACTATATCACAATTTATGAAGAACAATGAAAACTAAAGAAATTCAATTGTAAACATTTTTCTGTTGCTCTTTAGCATTTCCTGAAGGAATGTTCAAGCTTTCATTTCATTTCAAAATGACAGCAGTAGCATCAGTGTATCTTAAACTTCTAGTGTGAAGAATAGTATCAATTTAATACAATTTACAATATTTACTGTTCCCAATATTCATATCTTGCAGAGACTTGTTTTCCTTCTTATAATGAGTACTTTGTATTTAGGCATAAACAGCTGCAAGTATAACTTCAGACCATATCTTTGATATATTCCATAACTTGTCCTTTTATTTTAAAACCATTTCTGTAACTTCTTTAGTACACAAATGAATACGTATGGACTAACAAACTTGTTTAATATTCTGCATGATTATAGATCATACTATGTGTCATGGAATGATAAGTCAAAGATGCTCTGAAGATCACAGAATTATTTTTGACTAGAAAATTATTACAGTAATCTGTTTACACAACAATTTTTAGTTATTCATACCTACCAATAGAACCCCAAAACTTCTCTTGGTTCTGGGCAAATAAGGAAATAAATTAACCAATTGTTACATCCTTGTAGCATTATTACCTTATTGATAAAACAGTAACATTTTAGCATGTACTTAAAAAAGTTATATTAAAAGAAATGTAAACATGTTATTTATTTAAAAACTTTTTAATCTACTTCAAAAATCTTGTAAGAAACTGATTTAAGTGTTCATAGATTCAAGTGAGTGCATCTTAATAAAATTTGATTTAACTTTGGATGTATTGTTACATTTATGCAAATCTCCATCATTTTCCCAACCTGAGAACTGTAACGTTTCAGACGTAATAACTGCAAAAGAATTGCTGGAGTGACCAAAATTTATGGACTGGAATGCAGAACTTTTCTGACTGGATCACACATTGCTACAGATTTAATGCATGTACAAATTATTCTTAGGCACGGTTTTCCCATACAGGCCTAAATGAAGATTTGGCTTGACAGATGTGCCACAGAAAAATACACATTCTGTCAATAGAGAAGTGAGTATAGAATCGGCTCAACTATACCGATTACTGTTAATCAATAACGATTAAATCTAAATGTTTATATCAATTGTTCTACACTCATGACTATGCTGCCATGACTACAGAGATGAAGTCACCAAACTTATAATTTAAATGCATACCTTATGACTGAGATTGGCATTTAGGCAGCAGATCATTATATTTATTTACAGATATGATTTATTGCATTGCACTATGGGATATCTGCATATACAGTATATTAAAAAAGTAGTAATAACTATAAACTACTTTTTTGTCTTCACTTGTGCTGATTGTTTCGCTTGTTCCTGCAGTGCTTCTTCATCAATCACATTAGAATTCACTACCTCCTGCCTTGTTTATGATTTTGTTCTGCATATTGATACACCATTAACATATAATGAATTTTGTGAGTTTTCAGGTTCTCACAGTGGCAAGTATGAAGATAACTGTCATCTGGGATGTTGCACCATGTAGTCTGGTATTTAACAGCTTACTGATATTTCAGATGTACCTGCTGCTTCCATTATCGAGGTGGCCTGATGATGGAGGGAGCAGGCACCTTCGATATGTCAGTTAACTTCTACTAGACTACATGGCACAACATCCCATAAGACAGTCATCTTCATAATTAAAACATCATAGTCGTGACTAATATAAGCTTGCATGTGTTATATTGTGGAAATATATGAAAATCCTTGTTTTAAATCAATTTTGTCTATCACAATCATATACAGGTATCTCCAACATGCATACATTTTCTCTTAAAAATGCTTCTTTTCATTGGTATTAACATTTAAAGTGCAAAAAGTAATTGAATCTAACCAAAAGAGTTAACTGTCTGTGACCATAAATACTCATAATGTAGGAATATTTTGATTGTGAAGACATTATTAGTATGAATACCAAAACATAATAATATAATTTACAAACAAATTTTAATATTTTACACATTATACATATAATTTACCATAAGAGAAATTTAAGTCAAACTGACTTGTAGATTAATTATTGAGTCAGCAATAATATATATAGAATTGGTTATAACATTGGGACTAATATATAATGTATATTAGGTTTACATAAACAGACTTGCACCATAAAACTGTATTCTGCCATAATACAGCAGAATAAACCATTATCAGCATTAAATTAAAACAAATACACTGAAACTTCTATAAGTAAAACTCTAAATTCACCATTTTCAATCTGCTATGAATTTTCATTTCACAAATGTACCACAAAACTCAAAGCAAATAAATTTCAGAAGTTTTTTTCACTAAATCATGTCTCTCCATAATTAGTAATTTAAAAGAAATCATAAAATCTCCTACAATGGAAAAAAGTTGCTGGCATAAAGAAATAAAACAGACTCTTTACAAATTAGTGGCAGTTTTCAACTAAGGTTTTGAACTTTATTAACTCCGCATACATCTTCAGGTGCATAATTACACCAAGGCATCATTCTTTCAGATTTGTTATAAGTTTCCTAGAAAGCTGGAACTGTAGGGGATCCTTTTCAAGGCATTCAGATATCACTTTCAAATTTTAAAATCTTCCAAAATTATCCTGAGTTTGGTTTAATGCATTGGATGCAACAGATGATAATTATGCAGCACCACTGTGGTAAATAAGACATTGGTCAATGGCAATATATATGACTGTCAGAGTACATAAACAGTTTCATTATTTCAGTACAATTTATTTCAAGAATATTCCAGGCAATCAACAGGCAGTTTCAATGGTTTGTTAATATAAATATGCTTGTTAAATCACTGCAGACAAGAGGCCATGTACAGTACTGACAATGCCACTACAAACAAATCTGAATCACTCTTTTTGAAACACTCGACAGTTAACACATATATAAGAATTGTCACACATCAGAAATGTATTCTTAGACAGCTAATAACCAAAAACATATTTGGATAAAACATATAATTTAGAGGCAGTGAAGTGATTATGCAATGTTATTGGGAACAAACAAGTACTATAACAACCAGTCAAGGATCCAGCATGAGAGAGATTGCATTATTATTATTATTCTCTATTTTGGGATGTTAGCAATTTTCTGTGTCAAAGAAAAACTAATGCTGGTCAAAAAGATAATGTAATAATGTACTTACCACTATCAAAATACAAATGTTCAGTAAACCATGAACTCATTTCTACAGATATACATGCTATACTTCCGCTAAATGTCTTTCAAGTCTGTACTGGATAACACGGGTACTGCCAATTAGTGAGGGAGGTAAATAGTCACCACAGTCTGTGTCAAATGTGTAACAGGAAGGACAGATAATGGGAACAGAAGACACCCACCTTTCATAAATGAACTATAAATGTCATCATAGAGCTAGAATATTTCATAATGTGAGTGTATGTTTTTATAATAATAGCAACATGTCTATAATTTCTTCAGTTCCTTCTATCAGTATTTGTGAGAAGACGTAATTAGATACCTGCACATACAGCCACATCATAAATATTTAACTTTTCACTCACCCTGGGTTTTGGATGATGAGAAAGCATACATGACTGCTACATACCACATATTAATAAAATATTAATTTTCATGTTAAACTACAATGTTCTTTGTACAGTCATCTTTGGCTTTCTGGTAACTTACCATAAAAAAATTAATGTTTAATTTTGTGCTATTAATCACTATATAGAATATTACACTAAATTTGTATTTGATTAAAAATATGTTTACCATTCTCCAAAAAAACAAAAACAAAAAACAAAACATATTTTAAACACTCACAAGAAACTGGAATTGATGAAGCACAAACTATACAACTTACCAATCCTGTGTACTTCATCATGCTGAAATAACAGGAAACAATACTCCTTTGTGCAAAATGAAAATGCAGCTTGCACACACTTCCCAAGTTATAATTAACCTAATGTGCTAATCTTACAGAAGTAAAATGACATTGTAAAACCAGAGCGTTTGGATCTTGCAAATGGAAATAATGTAATGTATACAGTCTCAACAAGATTTCAAAAACCTATGAAATCTCTAATGGTAAATGAACTACACTTTCAGTATATTCCATTCCCTATCAAAGAAAGCAATTCTATGATCATTCTACTCAGATGACAAATGACCACTGTAATATTTTCATGACGACATTCTGCATAGGTTTGGAATATATCTCAAATCAGTGGCACTGCTCTACTGGAAGTTCCTGGGTTAATACACCAGTACACAAATGTCCATACATTCCCATAACCAAGATCCAATGATAAATCTGAAAATAATTGCATGTATAAACAGAAATTTATTCATCTTAATATTTAAAAATATTAAATTCTTTCAGATATCAGATATACCATTAGCTATGGCATTCATACATCTAATCACAATTATACTGGAGTAATAAATATTACGAATTATAGGCCCAAGTGAATTCACTTTTACAACTAGACATATCAAGTGCCATGACAACCAACACCATACTCCCCCAAATCAATATTACACAAATACATAATTTAAAATTACATTTCACTCTTGGGTCAACACATCACATATAGTCTAAAAAACCTTTAGTCTGTAATAAATTCAATTAAACATCTGAAAGAGTAAATCTACAGCCATTTATTCTAAATAAAATTGATGTTTATAAGCATCACTGCCTAAGAGGAGTAAATATTCCACACTATGACACATAACAGAAGACAATACTACTTCTTGCCCACTCCACAGTTAACAGTTACTGGTGATATGACATTACAAAATTAAAAAATAAAGTTGGCCTATTTAAGGTACTACGCCATAATTTTCCCAGAGAGCGTAAAAAAAATCATAATCAAGATAGCTGGTATTCCGGCTGATATTTAAACCACTTACCTCCTGAACATGTAGGAAGAGAGCTAATAACTCGATCACAATGTATGGTGGGTGTAAACCGAGATAAGTCAGCATCCTTGCCTTTGCTCATTAGAATCTTGACAACTTTGCAAATTCTCACGTGCAAGAAGAATGCAAAATTTTGCTACACTGCTCAGCAACATGTTTGATTTGTTCTAAAGTTATAAGTTTTATTTACCAATAATTATGAAACATTTAACAATTTATTCAGCCTATTTCAAACACAAAGTGATACGAATCTTAGAATATTGATACAAAGAAGAAATTAATATATTACAAGTTAGGTTATAACTTTCCAAGATATTGAAAATTAGAAAGAGCACAAAAAACTGACAAATCAACGACAACGTACAGTGTTGACTGTAGTCTTCTGGGTTGTGATGATGTGTGCTCTTGTAGGTGGTTACCAATATTATGAAGGAAAATATGGTCTCCATCTTCAGGGTTAAGATGGAGGTGATATACAAGCTCCGGCAAAGGCTGCAACTAATAACATCAGAGTCCTCAGTCCACTTGGAACCCAGAAGCTTTTCCAATTAATGGTAAGTTTAAACCACCTATAAGACCACCCAGTATCACAATCCACAAGCACATGACCACAACTGACATCTTCAGTACCATGAAAACCTCAAATCTCTACAAAGTGCAGTGTTGAAAAATGCTGACAATGGTGATGTACTGTTCAACAAAAGACTATCTACTAATATTTAGAAAGATGGTAAACAAATTATTACATGTGATTAAATCTCAGGTGATTAAATGCACCAGTTTGGAGCAAACGTCTGAGTTGATGCAACAGGTCACCATAGAAGATTTTATCACATTAAGTCATTATGAAAGCTTCAAGACATATACAGGTTATTACAGCTATAATGAACAAAATACCAATGGAATTTACAAAATTAATTAATATTATTTTATAAAATATTATAATCAACATAAAACACCAGAATTTATGTTAAACAGGCATAAACTATAAGAACACATAAAGAGAACTCTGTATTTAGGAATATTAAATGTCTCAAACATCCATTCATTTATTCATTCACTCATATAATTCACATTCCTTAATCATGTTCTCCAAAAATGCATAATTTGGCACACAATAATCTTGATTTGGAACATTTGTTACACCAAATTACTTATTTGAAAAAAATAATGTAATGCTTATATATAATAAATGTTACTGTCCCTCTAGCAACAAATACATACCGTCAAACTTTCTGCGACACTGGAAAGTAATGGCTACAGATATTTGTGATATACGGCTAAAAAGCTGTAGCTTTAGTTAAGGTCATAATATGTGCCCACCCAATGCCTCACTCAACTTGAATCTAGAGACTTATTCTTCATACAAAAATTCCATTTTAAAGGAATAATCTGTAATGTCCATCTGGAAAAAATCATCCTTTGCAAGAGGCACTAGAACAAATGTAAAATAGCCGCAGTTCTGAACATAGGGTACTATTTGCTACCTAACTCATTGTAACAGGAGTCACAGACTCGGACGGGTTTCTTGTTGCTTGCAATGGGGGCCATCTTGGATGAACACTCATTGCAGAAAATCTGTCCGCAATTACGGCAGTGATGCTTCCTTACAATAAGTGAGAACTCCCTCTGGCAGAGGCTACAGCTAATGACATCAGAGTCCTCGGTCCATTTGCGACACAACAATTTTTCCAGTTCAAGCTATGTTTTAAATAAAAAGTACATTGCATCAGTAAAGTTATTTCCAACAACACACACAGAATGATTATAGAATTAAATTATGGTAATGCACTCTAGTACACATCAAAACTTTACAAAATTACACATGTACTTATGCAGCTGCATAACTGACAGTTAATTCTGTACAAATCATGTAAATCGGGTCATAGCCACCTTCACTTTAAAATTTACACAGAGGGACCCCAAATGGTGTTCCGAAAATTAAACGGGAGCTTCAGAATATCAAAGAGAGGCCAGAAAACATGGATCCTGAAATGATTTTATGAAGAACTTTGAGGGATAAAATGTCTAAGGGCACATTATGCTGCAAGACACATAAAATGAAGACGGGAAAACTTACTTGTTTTCATGGAGCTTTTCTGCAATATATAAATTACATTACAAAAAAACATGAATTGTCTTGCTAGACTGCAGTGTTAATGTCAGCTGAACGTGTAACATAAAAATAATATTTCAACTTCAAAGATATAAAACACACATCTGAGCACCAAGAATTATTACCAAATGTGTCTTCAATAAAGCATGAAAGATATATCTGTAAACAATTACCTGAAGTGTCTGATTTTCCCGCCCAAGCTCATGCAAAGCTGCCTGACTTTCTTCCAACCGCCGACGAAGATCAGTAATTGTTTTATGTAGATTTTCAGTCTCTGAAGTATTTGCACAGCAACGTTCTAATAATGCCTGTCGCTCAGACTGGCTGGCTGCAAGCTGTGCTTCTAGCGCTGACCAAAAATAGGAGTAACCACACATTTTTGAAATATGAAATTCAAGGAAAATGAAACCATAATCCTATTTAATAAAATGCCAATATTACAGCCCACCTCTGGTGGCTTGGTAGTGTGACTACAGTCCACAGACCAGGAGAAAATCCCTGCTAGGAATTCGATATACGCGCATGCGCAAGATTTCGTGGTACTTTGGATTCACAGTGTATTTCTTTTTCCTTACCTAATTTTTCTCCTGCTACCTCATCAAGAGATGAATGCACATCCTTCAATTCCTGATATTTCTTCTCAATTTCTACTTCATATGTTTCCTTCATATCTTTATTATCTTTCTGTTGCTTTAGTAACTCACACTTCTCTACAGCCTGTATGCAAGAAGGTACAAGTAAAATGAATACATCAGTCATGATTGGAATTCTGATGATGGTTGCCTTCTGTGTTGTAGTCTGGCAGAAGTTTACTTCTACCAGACTGAACTTCTATGAGGCACTACAACCCAGGAGACAGCCCTCTTCATACTCACTGCCATGTAAATCCCAAATCCCTCATAATTAAATTGTCACAAATAATTTTAAAAATGACTACTATGTTTATGTTTTGCTTTAGGTATTTTGACTTTGATTTTGGAAGGAGCACAGGAAGCCCACCTAAAGGATAAATGCAGAAAAAAAAATATTTTACATTACAGTACACCCTGGTCACTGACGGGCATTATGTTCCTTAAAACTCCAATAAATGGCAAAACCCTGATGAATGAAGTTTACACCTCTCACCTTTGACAATATGATCTCATATTTAAAATATAATAAGGTGGGGGGGGGGCACAGCAGTGAAAATCATTATTTCAATATTTCATGACCTTGACACTACTTGGATATTCTGTATTCTGCACAATGGCCTATGGATTACAAGAGTTTTCAGAGCTCAGAATATTCAGCATCAGATAATAGGATGGTTAATGAATAATGAATGGGAAATGATACAAAAGGAAGGAGTCATGGCCTAATTTAAGGTACCATCTCTGTATGTGCCAGAAGGAACTGAGAAAAGCCATAAAAATCTCAGGATAACCAGTCTTGGGCTGAAATATGAAACCTGGGACCTCCACAATATGAAACAGGATTACTAACCACTTGACTGAGATGTCTGGTTATTTTTATTGTTATTATTTAGCAACAGTGATACTGGAAATATTTACACATCATTAAAAAAATGAGACAGAATTTGTCAGGAGGAATCAAAGACACCTGGAAAAAATTACATTAAATCTCTAAACCGGAATCAAGTGGGTCTATGAGGTGGAAAAGCAGTACACTTGTTACTGTGCTGTCAGTAATTATAAAAATTAATTACTTACACCTTATCACTAATATTTCTTAAAAGCAAACAAGAGTTACCATTCATAGATTGTGGTCTGATTGGAAAGAAACTGATGATTCATAGTCATTAAAGCAAAACTGTCCCAATGCAAGCCGTCAAGGTGCTTGGGTGGAGAGGAGGTATAGCTCCTTCTCGTTCTTCACCTCAGCACTAGATGGGGATAAGTGGGTCAGTGTCACATCCCAACTATGCTTCACCCCTGAGGAAACAACCCACGGTACCCAGTGGATAGGAGACTGGATGGGCCCCAGAGCCAGTCTGGACACTGAGGTTAAAGAAAAATCCCTCATTCCTACTGGGGATCAAACCCCAGTCACCCATTCCATAGTGAGACTGTATACTACTGAGCTACTCCATCTTGTTCATAACAAGTAAACTTACTAATTCCTCTTCAGCTGTCTGTTTGGAAAAAGTCACAGATGACAACTGACTCTGCAAAGCTGCCTCCTTCTCACATGCATTCGTTTTAACCTCTTCTAAGTGTTCTTCTAATGTTGCTAGCTGTTGCATCATTTTTGCTTTATCATCTAATAGTAATTTCTTACCCTCTTCAAATTCTGAGATTTTCTATAGGAAAAAGAAAATCCTTATTTATATACATACGTATAAAATAATTAGTATTATTTGCTGTAATTTATTTTCACACATAGTGCCATGGGCTTGCACAGCACTGCTTCAAAGATTAAATTACATAATTCTGTAACCAAAGGTCTGATAAGCATTAAACCCTTAAGAGGATCATCATCCTTACTTCACTTTACATGTCCTTTTTACACAAAACTGCACTCAGGCTGTTTCTTTATGCCAAAAATTCAGTGTAATACAGGGAACCCCAATGACTAGCATAGTTTTCCATCTATATTGTACAACATGTATCCACTTACCACTTGACTGATTTCAAATAATGACTTTATACTATCCACTTCTTTCTTCCATTTATCTTCAATCTGCTTTTTCTCCTCCACTACATCTTTTTCCATTTCAAACAGACTAGTTTCCAAGGATGCTCTTTGTACACCCAAAACCTGGAGTTGCTCTTCATTTTCTTTCAAGTTCTCTTTCAGTAAACTGATTTCAGTACCTAATCTAGTGTTTTCCTTTGAAACAGGATAAGATACATATATACAATGCAGCTATAATACATAATACAGCATTATATGTAAACAAAGTGCAAAGACCTTGTACAGAATTAAAACCTAATGTAATATTTGGCATTTAACATACCAGTTATGATGGAAATCAAGGTATATAAAGTGAGATTTCAGGTTCTCGTGGTGGCGAGTAGGATGATGGCAGTCTTCTAGGTTGTTTTAAAAGGCAGTCTGGGTCTCCATCATCAGGGTGATGATGAAGACAGTGATTACCTCTGAAATGCCAGTAAACTTCTACCAGACTACACACCACAACAACCCACAAAAACAGCATCTTCAAGGTAATATAAAACTGATAACAAAAGGTAAATTATATTTTAAAAGATCAATAGTAAAGTACCAGTATTACACCTTCCCCCCCTTTCACATTCTAAAGGAAAAGGATAAAATCTATGAACACAAAGATACTGTAGACTAAGAACGTTCTATACTGAGTTATTTTCAGGTTGTGTGATGAAATCACAGCATTTTGCATGAGTGATCATTCTTGTTATGCAACCCTTGTTCTTAAAAATCATATCAAATTCTGTAATTTACTACATTCTACTTGTTCCAATAACTAAACAAATTACTTTTCCTTCCCCAGTGCTTGGAAAAGAATTTATAACACACTGGCAATTTAATCTGAACTGCCAAACTGTGGACAGCCAACATAGCTAACAAGGCTACCTTGGACAACACAAACAATCCACCCCCTGCCAATGACAGAGCAAATTCATGCCTTTCACAGATGGCGGCTGCACAGATTACAGGTGATCAATCCCATCTCAAATTTTTTATCTGCATGTCAAAAGACTTTCAGAAGTGCATTTTCAGATGAAGTTGTTTTGACAAAGATACAAATAACCATATCATAAATTTATTTTATGAAACAGGTGTTACCTCTTTGTGATAGAAACTTTAGTAATTCATTGTTGAATCATACTGAAAGAAACACGTCCCGTCAACATGCCCTATTTTTTCAAGAAAGTTGGATTCTTCCAAAATCTTGCAAAAAGATCTGAAAATTTATTTTTCTGACTTCTTGACAAATAAAACAATTAAGCTGCACTATAAAACAAACTAAATTGCAATGACTGTTTTAAATGAAACTGCTGAATCATGCAGTCACATGATCCAACAAGCAGCAACTCAACAGTGTTATCAGTTGACGCACAAAAACACGTCTGACTTCACAAATCTCATTTACATCATAAACAGGGTTAATAATTTAAAGCTCAAACAAATGAGAGAAAAGTTACATGCATTTATGTAGTTAAATTAGAGGCACACTATTGTGAACACAGTAATGAACCTTTGGGTTAGAATAAATGGTATGGAATTTCTTTACCAGCCGAGCAACTCAATTTCTGCTGCATGGAGTTAGTTATGTTATAAGCAGATCTGAGCTGGTAACGATAATCTCATTTTGGTATCAGTTAATGTTACATTGTAAAGGTAATCAAATGTTGGTATTGTATTAAAAATTCTTTCATGATTAAAATTAGCCCAATAAGCTTATTGTCTAGGTGCTAGGCAGATAACTTCTGTATTCCAAACACTAATAATTTACTGACCTAAACTGATGTTAGTTGCACTACAAAGAAAACATTAATGTGCAAACAACATGAAACTTACTGCTTCCAACAGTACGGCACGTGCAGTCTTCATCTCAATTTCTGCACCCAAATCTTCCACTTTAGAATCAGAGTCCTTTAGTTTTAATTCTGTTACATTGAGATTCATGTGGAGGTGAACAAGTTTTGATTCGTGTTCTGTGAGTTTTTGTTCCAATGCTTTATTTTCTCCTTCAAGTTCAACTAATTTTGTTTCATTCCCTTGCAGAGTATCATTCATATTTTTAACTTTGTCACTGTAATCAGCCAGCAATGAAGATTTTTCTTGCAACAAACCCTCCAAATCAGCTATTCTGAGCTGACATCCATCCTTCTCACTTTTAAGATGATGTACTGAAGAATGAAGAGCTTGCAGAGTACTTTCCTATTAAAAATAAAAGGGCAAAAGAAATGTGTAGTTTATTGTAGAAATGTATAAACAACCATGTTTCCAGCTTGAACAAATGTGGACTAAATGTTAAGTTCAACTTCAAACTTTTCATTCTTTTAATATAGTAAGACAGTACTTCTCCAACATTTATGTTGGCAGACCTGTGAATCCATACTTTTTAACTGTGAAGGCATACTGAAAAGGACATGACACTAAGAATGTTGCCCAGATTAAGACAAGAGATCCTTCTTTCATTAGAGTTTAATTACAATGTGCTCAGGCCATGCAAATTCAAAAATGTAATCCCATATATCAAAATCCAACAGGAATGTACAGATCAGTTAGTTACTATTAGTGACAGCAAGAATGAAACAAATATGCTCAATATGAGAAACACTGGTCACTGATGGCACCCATGGCTACTAAATTTTTTTTATTGACTTCCCCACCAAAATGCAGAACATTTTGGGTCACAGGATCTATATTATATCAAGTCTCTTATTTTCTGGTAGCATAATGTTTTGCCTGGACTCAATGCATAGTCCAGTTATGTCTTCAATATTTTATATTGTACAGATAGTTAAAAATCTTACCTTCTTATTCAGCTCATCAGTCAACCTTCTGACCTCTTTCTGAGATGCCTGAAGTTCAGTGCGTGTAGTGTGTATCTCATTTTCATAATTACTGAGTTGTAATGCAATGTCTTCATTCTTCTTTTCAAGATCATGAACTCGAGTTGTTGCATCATCCAATTTCATTGACATTTCTTTTGCATATGTGGTATGGTAATTCATCTGCTCTTTCAACTCATTGTTCAGTAGCACCTAAAAGAAATATCCAAATTTCCATCCATCACAGTAATACAAAACTTAGGTGACAGATGTTTTTCAGTACTCAGTGTTTCAAACCACTCCACAGCTACCTTACTGAGCACGTGTTTTTCACAGTTGACACATCTTGGTAAAGTGTTAAAAATTTGTAACTGCTTCTATTCTCATGTAACTATCAGAGCAAAATTATGTTTTATGCAAAAGTGCATAGGAACTATGGGTAAGAACATCAATAAACAACTGTCCAAAACTACCCTTTCCCAAATTCCCAGACATGAGTACTTTAAAAACACAGATTCCTATAATGATTAAATGAACTGTATAAAAAGAGTTCTGTTCTTGTTCTCTTAACTGTTCTGCCCCCTCTGGACCTCCAGCGTATATTTTACTGGCAACATTCTTGAATTATTTATTCCATGAAATATTTAAAAACATGAAGAACAAAATTAACAAGTTTTCTCTACTCAGCTTGAAGACCTCACACAGACATTGAAGGGTAACAAACTGTCGGTCAAGACATTACCTTTTCTTGTGAAATCTGCTGGATAGCAGTGTTGGCACCTTCACCTGCTTCGATTTGAACAAGAAGCTCTGCACGTTCTGATTCCAATCTTAAAATTTCTTCTTCCTTCTGAGACAATCTCTTCTCTGCCTCCTTATTCTTCTCTTTCCTTCAAATATCACAGATAACAGTGCAACACCACATTTATTTAATTGGTATCATAGGTAAAAGCCATTACTACACATACACAACATAACAAAATATAAGATGTGACACATTTAGTGGTGGAGAGTACAAAGTTGGCTGTCTTCTGGGTTGTAGCTGCATGCAGACTGGTAGAAGTTTACCAACATTTCAGAGGTCCTTGCTACCTCAATCAATAGGGGAATAAGTCACTTTGATGATGGAGACATCAAGCATGATAAGCAAGTTCAAAAAGATCTGGATTGGGAGAAATATCAAAATATCCAACCTCACTCACACAACACACAAACTATCTTAACAGGTACAAAATCTGGGAGGGAAACTTTTCCCTTTCAAATTTTGTTTCATATGAAAGAAAACTACATAAGGCTACTGCTATGGTATGTAGGGTATAACAAGCTATAAGAGTTTCAGGGATTATTAATCTTTGGTTTTTTTATATCAGAACACAATAATCCAGAATTCTTCATTATTCTTCACAGTGAAAGATGACACATCGTGATACATTAAGATATGAAATTATAAATACCCTATTAGTTAAAGTGATTTATTAATTGTCCAACTTACAAAGACATATATGACTTCTCATATTCCTCACAAAGTTTTGATTTGTGTATCAGTTCACTCGTCAGTATATCCTTTTGTTTGCTAAGAGCATCAAAACGTAACTGTGCCGATTTATGAGCTTCCTGTTTCTCTTCTAGCTGCTTAAGAGCTGTATCATACTTCACTTTCATCTCTTCAGCTTGCTGAATCAGTATATTTATTTCATTTGCTCCATTCTGTTGCAGTTTCTGTAATTGGTCTCTCTCCCTTTTTACCTAGCAAAGCAAAAAATATTAAGCAAATATATTTTATTTGCATAATACAAAGTTACATAACACAATTTAAAATTATTTATATAAATTAACTCCCTTGTATGAATATGGCTGTCTTCTGGGTTATAATGCCATGACTCCAACTCTGGGTAGGGAAATTTATAACACAACGCAAGCACTGAGCCTACAACAGTTTTGCTTCCTGCTTGAAACCAATGTTTGTAGAAAGGATGTGCCATAACAGAAAAGGTAACCTATACATTAGTAAATACAGAAAAAAACATCATGATATATAAAAACATCTCCACAGATATGCATACCTCAACAAATTCATCCTGGCAGTGTAGGAAATCATCTGTTTTTCGTTGACATTCTTCTAACACTTCAATTATTTTGTTCTTTTGAACTTGTAACTCTTGCTCTAAAGTTTGTGACATAGACAATTCC